AATGCTTGCCCAGTGGACATACCCCACAGAAAGGCTCTGGATATTATTTCCGTCTCTTCTAGGACCTTCCATCAAATCACTGGAGTCTAATTCATGGCTTAAAACCTCCAAGAACAACTAAGGAACATGGGACTTTGATCTTGGCCTTTCCACAGATTTTCATCACTCCAATAAAGTTTTTTAAATAACGTCTCATTTCAATGTGTATTTCTCTGACCACTACTAGATGTTGAGCATCTTCATGTTTATCAGACATTTACATTTCTTCTTTCACTGATCAGTTCACACAGAGTATATTTAGCTGCATATTCTGGTTTGGGTTCAGTTTGAAATCTGAGCTGGAAATACAGTTTCCAGAGTGAATAGCCTAGGGGTGGTCATTGAAGTAACAATTTTGGATAAGACACACCAGGGAGTATGGTAGGTATGACAACCCAACTGGGCTTGTCAAAAAAATATGGATTTCTATAGTTAATTTTTCAGAATTATCCATTTAGCAATGGCCAAGTGAACCAGAAATGAGCCATTTAACACCTAATCTTAAGCCCTTTGCTCACATATGATGTTATAGGATTTTGTTGGGATAAACTAAATCGTATTTCCAAGAATCAAACACATTGGCAAGTGGGAAATTTCCAGAAGGCAGTATCAATAAAGCTGTGTCTACCACTCCAATTTGACACTGTGAGATAGAGACATATCTGGCAAGGGATAGTGGCTGCATTGGGCTCTGGGTAGAGCTGATAGTGGTCCAAAATAATGAAATTGTAGCATCTGCTTTGACTGGGTATAAATTGTTTAGAGCAATTTCTCTGGCTACTGGGCCAAAGTCAGCATTACCCATTACAGATTGGACAGTCAGAAATGTTGACATAGAATTCACCATTAAGCAAAACAAGTCATGTTGTTGTAAGTCAAACAGCCATCATAATAGCTGTGTAAGGAAATAATTTGTAGAGATGCCAAAGGGTCAGGATACACCATTAGCTACTTCGTTATGACAGACTATACCAAGGGCATGAGTATACACCAGTGTGCTTGACTGATACAGCCAGACACAGGGGGTCCCAATGCTGTAACTAAAAACTGCTGAATACACAGGACTCTGCAAGGGGGAGTAATAATGTTTTATCTGCCCCTGGTTTAGGGATCACGAAAGCTATGTTTGTTCTTCCACATATCAAGAGAGAAGGGCAGGGGATGATGATAAAACCTCACCATTGTGAGATCTCATTCCAGCCATGACATCCTGGCACTAAAATAAGCAGGGAGGCAATGGGGAGGCTATCCAATGATGCTTTCCACACTCCCACACATTGATGATCAAATTAATAATGATGGTTATAACAACAATAACAACAACAGGTAGTAATGTACAAGTGCTTTCCCTACACCAGGACTGTGCTTTAATACATAACACACCCGCATAAGGTGGGGTGGACCATTTAGGAAGTTACTCATGGCTTGGCATAATCTTCCCAGAGATCTTTCTTATCTCCAGAACTTCCTCAGGATGCAGTTAGAGGCAGCATCCTTGCTGTTTTACACAAGGGGCACTCAATTCTAACCTCATATGCAACACGCAGTGTGAACCCAATCTTTGGTTTCATTTTTTCCTTCATTATTTCTTCCTTTCTGGTCTTGGTTGGATACCTACATAGCCTATAAGAGAGCAGATTAACCCGGTGAGTGAACTCCGTTAAATGTTGAACACTTCCAAATTCAATGCTCTTGCAAGCTTTAAGGAGGAAAAGCTGTGGAAAATAAACTGGTCCCTCTGGATGCCACATAAGAGAATCTGGCCCACTACCTAGGAACCGCTCTGCGATCTTGGAAGGACACTGAAGCCTCCTTGTTTGTGTGGTTGTGCTATTCTCAAATAGCTATTTTTATGATTAACTTCTATTCTGAGTGACAAATGGGAAAAGAAATCCTTGAACTTTTACACCGAACGATTGCCAAGTTTTGTTTTGCCATAGTGACTCAGAGAATTACAGTTATGTTGCCCTGACCTCAAAAATCTTCATTCTGTTTTGGAAAGTAAATAAATGAAAACAAAACTTTTTTCTTCTCCGCCAAAGACATGCTCAGTATTCTGTTCTAGGACATGATGAACCCCTGTTATATGGTAATTGCTTTCTTCCACGTTATTTTTGTCTGTTTATACTGTCAACTTTGAGTCTGGGGTCTTTGAAGAATTAGTTAAAAGCTAGGAAGTCAGCTGTTAATTCATCTGCAAGTTGCACTCCCTTTTTTCCACTTTTGTGGTCTGCTTTGCAGTTTAGTCATGTAATGTGTTAAAATAACAGTGATAATAAGGTAACAGCAGTGAAAAAGACTTGTAACAGAGTAAAGCCATCTACTGGAGAACTTCACAGAAAACGGAGATGAGAAAAAATCTCATTCCTTCAGGAAACATTAATGAACCTGATGTGCCAGATACTGTGATGCCCAGTCCTTGGGATGGAGGAAGTGGAGGTCAGCAGGAGACAGCATCACATGGAGAAAACATGGGCCTTGGAGGCAGGTGGAGCTGGCCTTGGCCTACACGGGGAAATGGGCGACAGCTGGCTTTACACCAGCTACGGACTGGCGTCCTCTCTGGATTGCAGAAGTTACTCATTTGATTTTTTTAACTTTATATTTTGAGGTAACTGTATATTCACATGTAAGAAATAATAGGGATAACCAGTATACCCTTAACCCAGTTTCCTCAGTGGTAAGTAACATTGTGTATAACTATAGGACAATATCACAACCGAGAAATTGACATTGATGCAATCTACCAACCTTATGCAGATTCCACCAGTTTTACACACACTGAGTGTGTGGGTATATGTGTGTGTATTTAGTTCTGTGCAATTTTTCGCAAATGTAGATTTGTGCAGCCAAAAGCACAAAGATACAGAAGTTCCATCACAAGGATCCTGTGTGCTACCCTTTCATAGCCACAGCCAGCTCTCTCCCTCTTAATGTGATCTCCATCTCTATGACTTTTTTTCGTCTCAGGAATACTATATAAATGGAATCATAATGTAACCTTTGAGCCTGGCTTTTTTCACTCAGCATAATTCACTTGCAAACCATCCAAGTTGTTGTGTGTATCAATTAGTTCATTCCTTTTTATTGCTGGTAGTGTTCCATGGTATGAATGTGCCACAATTTGTTTAACCATTCACCAGTCAAAGCACATTGGGTTGTTCCACTTTAGGGCTACGGTGAATAGACCTGCTATGAACATTCACATATAGGTTTTTGTGTGAATATGTTTTCATTTCTCAGGGGTAACTGTCCAAGAGTGCAATCCCTGTTTAGTTTTATAAGAAATTGTCAAACTATTTACCAGAGTAGATGTACCATTTTACATTCCCACAGCAACGCATGAGTGATCCAATTTCTCCACACCCTTGCCAGCATTTGGTGTCATTACTGTTGTTTTTATTTTACTCATTCTGATAGGTATGCAATTAAATCTCATTGTGGATTTAATTTGCATCTTCCTAATCGCTAATGATACTTAATATTTTTTCATATGCTTATTTGCCATCTGTATATTCTTGTCAGTGAAATGTCGGTTCACATCTGTTGCCCATTTTCTAACTGAATTGTTTGTTTAACTTTTACTGTTGAGTTTTAAGAGTTCTTTATATGTTCTAGATACAAGTCCTTTGTCAGATACGAGGATTGTAAATATTTTCTCCCAGTCTGTAGCTTATCTTTTTATCCTCTTAACATACTTTAACAAAGCAAAGTTTTTAATTTCAATAATGTCCAGTTTATCGATTTTTCCTCTTTTTTTGCCTATGGATGTCCAGTTGCCCCAGCACTATTTGTTGAAAAGGCTATCTTTTCTCTATTGGATTGCTTTTGCAACTTCATCAAAACTCAATTAGGCATATTTGTGTGGGTCTACAAGTAGGTTCTCTATTCTGTTCCATTGATCTATGTGTCTGTCCCTTCACCAACACCACACCATCCTGATTACTATAGCTATAGAGTAAGCCTTAACATCAGGTAGAGTGATTACTCTCACTTTATTCCTCTTTCAAAATATTTCAGCTGTTCTAAGTCTTGTACATTTCCATGTAAATTTCTGAATAAGCTTGTCTATGTCTATTAAAAGCCATGCTGGGATCTTGATAAGATTTGCATTAAACCTATAGATCAACTCAGGGAGAACTGACATCTTTACTTTGTGGAGTTTTGCAATGCATGACCACCACCTTGATTTTAATTATCCCCTGCAGTTCACTTTGCCTCACCTTCTGGGTTAAAACGCCCCAGGGTCCACACCTGCTGAAACCACACCTGAGTGTGGAACCAGAGCTGCCCTCACCAGCACCTGTCTGTGGTTAAATCCCCTGGATTACAGCTTTGTCTGCTATCTATAGGATTATGGAAAAAGCCAGAACTTGTGTTCAAACCCTACCACCATCGGGGGTTTAGCTGAATCACTGCAAGCCTCAGTTTCCTCATCTGTGGGACAAGAATGGCTTCCTTGGAGCAGCTCTATAACTAGGCCTTAAGTGGGGGCTATTATTATTACTCTAACACACGCTCCTACCACTTACTAACTTGGTGCACAGTTAGATTTCAGCATCTAAAATGCCAAGCTGCAATCATCCTTATTAGTAATATTTCATCTATTTTAACTCATCATTCTCATTTGTTATAATCATCTGGAGCCTGATGTCATCCACATTTTTATCCCAGTCATTTAAAAATAATGGCAAAAAGGCAAAGAGACATGGACAGACTTTGACATGCTACTACAGACATCTGTTCTCATTTAGGTCCTCTGATTTCTGTCAACAGAAACACATTCTGGGAAACTAGGCAAATGAAATGAACTAAAAGGAAAAGAACCATGCCTAGGAGCAACAGAACCAAGCAGTGCCAAAGTTAGGAACCTGACAGTCTTGCCCAGGAGGCTGGCTCTGGAATGAATAAGCTCAAATCATTATCTGTTTGTCTATATCACTCTATTCAAGATTTGAAGAGCTAGGAGAAAGGTCCTCTTGGCTAAGCCCAGGTCTTGTGACTGGCTCCTGGCTGTTCCAGGCACTAAAAGGAAGGATCTGGCTGACAAGACCCTTCAGCATTTGTTACTGAAGGTTTCCACCTGCATTTTCTTTCCACCCAAACTACCCACGGCGGAGGACAAGCAATGCGCCCAAATGGAATCACGGTGCTGTCAGGAGGGACTGTGAGCGCTTGGAGACCACAGAGTGCCAAAGGTTTATTCTAACTTTTCTTCATTTGATAGTGGTTCACTAATTAGCACTCTCTGGCAATGGCCATTCAGCCAGAAAGAGATCTACTCAATTGTCCAGGAACATAGATCCATCTGCCCCACCAAGATGTGTTAACAAACTGACAAATAGCCTTGCTGAAATGCAGGTATGTGAAGCCTATGGCATTCTGTGAATCTACTGAAATCACAACTTTCACATCGGCATTTAAGCTGCCACACTGGTTGACTAGTGATCTCAAGTCCCTTAACCTCAGCACCCAAAATTTCTCATTGATAAAAAGGGGGGTGATTGTTCTAATCTCACATTTTGGTGGGGTTTTTTAACTATAAAGTACTATATGCCGTTTTTGTTATGCATATGCTAGTTATAACTCCAACTGCCTCCTTTAAGCATAGAGACTGTTAAGTGGAAGTCCTTTAATTCTGTTTCATGTTTTTTTATAGGATTGGTGGTGCAAACTAGGGAAAAGAAATCTGGAGGATGAGTTGAGTTGCTCTGAAAAAGATCAGAAAGGGAAATGGAAGACCTCCTGCCATCTGAAGAAATCTGAGAGGGAGAGGTAAGGAGCAGGGCTGGGAGAGAGGGAGAAAGGGCCAGAAGTTGGCAGAGACATCATCCGTGCAATGAGACCCTTCACAATGGCCCCTCGGGAAACTCTCCCCAAGGAGCAGTTTCATCTTAGAGTGGACATGTTACAGGCCAGGGGTAGATTGATGGAAGTTGAACCCAAGTGGCAGAGAAAGCCAAAAGGACACAAGTGTCCATCCTACTTGTATCCACACCCTAGGAAGTAGTAGAAATCTGGGATTTAAAGCTCTAGGACCACGGAATTTGGGGGCTGAAGGCAAATTCGTCTAGAGCTCGAGGAGCAAGCAAGCCTCCAGCTGACTTCTGGAATATACATATTTGCATTCATAGCTGAGAAACAATAGAATATTGAAATCTCTAGTCCTTGGGTGATTTTTCTCAAGCAGAAAAAGAAAAAGAAAAGGCTCTTTGTTTCATTATTCCAACCTTGATCTTTCATTCATTCTCTAAGGGCATAAATGACTATTTATATATGTTTCCATGAGTTAAATCATTCTTGAGGATTTTTTGTTTGTAGTTGTTGTGTTGTTTCCTGCTATGGATTTTAACACAGAAGCCTTTCCTTTTGAGCCAAAAGTATCAACAACTAGCACCCTACAACTGCCAGTGCCAGATTCCTTTGTTCGTGGGTCCTTTTGCCATATATTTTCTGGGGAACACAATTAACTACAAATGTGAATAGTGTGTGTCTGCTGTGTAGGGAAACCTGAGGTGAGAGCGGCTGCCACCCACCATTCCCCAGAATGTGCCCAACACAGCCCTTGCAGAACTTGGAGCCCCAGGAGGATCTATTCTAGATCACGTGGCCCTGCCATTCCAGCCACAGCCAGGAGTGCAAATCTAAGGCAAGAGCAGCCAAACCATCGCCTCTGGGGTGGCCATAGGTGAAAAGACAAGTCAGGCCAGTCAGATTCTCTTTCTTGGGTATTTGAAAGAGGAAATGGGTGAAAGAATGCTGAAAGTCTCTGTCAAGGAAGGCCATGAGATAGCTTTAGACGCCATGAGGAATCATGAGCAAGCCAGAATAGGAGAAAGCAAAAGGAGAGTGAAGCAGACATAGGAAAGTTGATTGCTTCATATTAACCCCACCTGTTCCTGCCGCAGGTATGAGCAAATACAAGCCATTCCCTTTGCTTGCCTTCTTACATTCTCTCGTCTTCCTCTTCCCATCTCTTCCCTTCTTTGACTAACTCCACCAAGGCAGAATGGTCAGAGTTTTGCCATTAGAGCTGATTAAAATGCATCTTTCCAATTCCCTTGTTTTTCCCTATCCAGAATGAGATTTACAAAAGATTCATTGACCATCTTGTCACGTGTAGGCATGATGACACCAAGGCCTTCCTTTGTTGCCACAAAATGTCCAGAGAGAAATAATATCTGAGAACCTAAGGCTTCCCTTCATAGCATTCTTCTCTCTTATGGAACCTAATTGTAGCACTAGAAAAAGAGAGATGGGCTCTTGCAAACCTCACAGCATGCTGACTCTAACACATCACTAGCTAAATAAGAAACAAGGTCAGCATGGTGTGGGAGAAATGGCAGTGTTATCTTAGCTGTCCATTCAGACTGTCGATTCGATGGGTGGGTTTGTAAGGAAGGGAAAGAGAAATGTATATGGAAGTAATATCACTACAGGCCACAATATATAGGGATGCAGGGGAAAAAATAGTTGAGCATATTTTCAGGATGTGGTAAGCGGATATGGCTCAACCAGAGGAATTTATAGCTGCAACTGGCATCCCTAACACCATAAAACTGTGCACGGAAGCCACTTTTAGGATTGAGGATCAAACTGCTAGATTCAAAACATAGACAATAGAACAAACACCGCTGCTTAACACGGAGCAGGAGATGAAACTAATTTGCTACTCTTCACTGGATTCCACCCCATACCTCTAACACAGCAATCCTGTGTAGTTAATTTATTAAAGCATCTGCAGTTGCCATAGATAAGGGAAAAAGCTATCAGGGCTGGAAGAAATGGTAGACAGCAGATCCTTAGCCAGCAGTCAAACAAGAGTAAAATGTCACAAGCCAAAGAAGGTACCAGAGGAAATAACCTGAGTTAGAGAAGAAGAATTCCTCAGGGAAGCAGGTCTCCTTACCCCAGAGCAGTAAAAAGAATCTACATAAAGGAATTCATTTTTTTTTTAATTATTTTAAAATAGGCTATCATTTCAATTAAGAAACTGAATGAATTTCCTGGAATTAACCTGTATTCCAGCTTTGAAATCAGCCATGAATACACAGACCAAAAGGCACGCACAAGCATGCTCCCTTGCTCAGCCTCTCTCTCAAACAAAAGATCTCCCTCCGGCGACCCTTAAAAGGAGTTTGAAAGCTGTAAAGTCACAAGAATGAGATTTTAAAGCTGGCAGCATGTAAGCTGGCTAAAGACGATATTCCCAACTCTCTCTCAAAGAAAACCCAAAAGAAGCACTGGGTGTGGGAGACACATCTGCTGAGATGCTCAGAGACCCACATGTGTGGCACTTTAACGAAGAAATAAGGAACTGGACTTCCCACTTACAGTCTCGCACCACCAGCCCTTCCTTACATTTTCCGCTTGTTCCCCAACTCACAAAGAAGCATGATAGCCAGAGACAGACAGGATGAGAGTGTAGAAGGTAGATGACAAAAGCGCTTGATCTCGAGAGTCATTGGGAGCTTTTGATCCCAAATAATGAGTGAATATTGTTTGAAGCCCTAGCCAAAAAAAACACTTAATAATAGTAATTTTAAACATTCCTTTCCTTTCTCTTGAAGTCTTCTTCCCCAATCTGGCAAATTGCAAAGCACTAAAGGAGTATTTTCATCAATGTGTCTAAATATGTTATTCAGAGTAGGATTTTATGTGAGATAGCCCTGGGGAACTTTCTGGAAGAAAAAGGCAGTCCCAAAATTGGATGAACAAACTGCTTTAAGGCTTTAAGGTTTTAAGATTTTGCAAACCATATCGTGCCTTCACTACACCCCAAGCCAGAAATGAAAAAGAAAATAATTCCATTTTCCAGGCACTGCAAAGGGACTCGCTTACTATTTCTGTGGGTTCACAAGAATGCAGCAACCAGGAGAGGCAATGTCCCCAACACAAAGGAACCCAGACCCCTGAGCTTCTAGCTGGCAAGTTACCCAGCAGAGAAAATAGGATGCTATTGAATTTGCAGGCATCTCAGTCAGTGACGGAGGTGGAGGGATGTTGCAAAAGGATAATGGGAGGAAGAGGGATTGGGAAAGCAGGGATGAGGGACAGGTGGATCTGGAAGTGGAAAACCATTTTTCAAGCCTAGAAGAACAACTTAAAAAATATTACTGGGGAATTAATGCATAAAAAGTGTCCTTAGCAGGGGGAGGTGTGAAGGGGGGGTACATACATCATAAAAAGATACACTCTGTGGCCAAGACTCCCTGACCATTAACACCACAGATAATCAAAGAGAAAAAATCTAATTTAGTAGAAGGATGGTAATCTCCAAATGATAAGCCACTTCACCTGGTGTCCACACTCTAGTCCCAGGCCCACATTTAAACAGGAGCAAAAATTTAAACACATGCACCCACACACACATATGCGCATACACAAACACACATATACACCCAGAGACAGAGCAGCCCAAGGCCTGAGTGTAGGAGGCCATGGGAAAACTCATTCACGAGGACTTTTTAATTGCTTTGTGTTTGTTTTCTGTCTTCTCCCCCCTTTCTTCCGATGGTGATTATGGTTGTATTTTGAAATCATGATGCGCCACTGCAGCACTGTAATTACATAAATACGGCATTATAAATGAAGGTTAGTGCCAGAAATAGCAACGCAGACAGGGGAGCAATTTGTCTTTGTGGATGCAAGGGTGTGTGCACATGTTTATAAATACCTCCCACTTACATGGTATTTGAAAATTGTTTGCTAGTCCAAGCAAGGAGGGCTTAGGAAACAAAATAAGAGCCTCACCTTATTTTCAGCAGAAGAAGATGAAGGCAAGAAAAGGCAGGTTCTTCTAGTCATGATCAATGGAAATAATGAGGTAAGAGCTGGGCTTAAACTGAGCTCGGATCCCTGAGCTGGCGTGCAGTTGAGTGGGCACTAATGGCTCTGCTTGTGACAGGAATCAGTCTGGGGCAGTACAGCTTGTCAGTGGTGCCCTTCAACACCCTCTGGAACCTTAGGGAGTGTCTTGTAAGCACCATTCAGAACAGAAGGACTACCTTCCTCCCCTACTCTCACTCATACTTGCCTCCAGGGCACCTCCGGAATCTTCAACCAATAGCGATGGGAGTTGGGAGATGACAACTTCTTCCACTCTCAGGAAAAAGGAAAATTCTAAAGTGTGTCCTACAAGTGTCCCACAGAGTATGTGTTAGTTCTAAAATATGTCAGCAAATTCTTTGAAACTCATCCCTCCAAAAGGTAGAGCCTAATTCCCCTCCCCTCTGAAGTGGGCTATCTGAAGTAACTCACCTCTAATGACCAGCATATGATGAGAGTGATGCTATGTGACTTCCAAGCCTAGGTCATAGACACGCTATTTCTCTTTTGGCTCACTGTTTCGGGGGAAAGCCAGCACCATATCATGGGCACACGCAAGCAGCTTGTGGAGAGGTCCCCGCAGTAAGGAACTGAGGTCTCCTACCAATAACAGGCACTGACTCCCCAGCCATGTGATGGAGCCACCTTGGAAATGGATCCTGCAGCCCAGTCAAGCCTTTGGACGAATGCAGCTCCAACTGACATCTTGACCATAACCTTATGAGAGATCCTGAGCCAGACCCACCAGATAAGCCACTCTCAAATTCCTAAACTACAGGAAACATAAGTATAATAAATATTTATTGTTGCTTTAAGCCATTAAGTTTTGGAGTAATTTGTTACACAGTAGTAGCTAACTAATGGAGTCCTAGTGGTATTGACCTGCAGCCCCCCATAGCTGTACACTTCTCATCAACCCCTTCCCTGTGCTGCCTTAGATCACCTCCAAAGAAAACCACCTGCGTTCAAAATCTTATCTCAGGGTTTGCTTTTGGAATCGAAGAAATCCCAGAGAAGGTAAATATTATTATTATCCTCATTTTAGGGATGAGAAAAAACACACGTAGGTTAGAGTTACACAGCAAATAGTGGCAGAACAGAGGTTTTCTGAGTCCTCATCCACTGCTTCCTGTTTCATCACAGCGGCTTCTCCCTCCCACCCCAATCCTTTCCAATTTCAAGCAATCTCTCTTCTCTCCCCAAGAACACTGTTAATTTGCTCATTCGCTGTGGACCGAGACACTCATCATAACCACAAAATTTAAAAACCAATCTAAGCAAATTCAGTAACAAAAGCAGGAACTTTGAGTCACTCAAGTCTCAGTGCATTTATTTTTCCTAATGATACCTACACACAGCAGGGAGAAATAATTAGCAAATTAATGGGTTATTCCTCTGTTGACATTCATGCAAAGGCTAGATGTGACTCCCTTGTTCTATGTCTTACAGGCTCTGGCCTGAAACTGCTGACCAACATCACTGGTAATTTATTGAAGTTATGAACAAATGCCCGTGCTGCGTGGGCAAGAAATAAAGATGAAGCCTAAATTTGCTATGCTTTCTGTTCTGATCAAATAAAATGTACAGCCAACTTCATCTGTCAGATATTTAATCATAATCATTATTGTGCTATGTGGTAATTAGGCATAAATGGAACATAAATGACTCTTGATAGCACCATTTTATATATCAAACTGTAATTTTTGTGTTTTTCTTCTCCCTTTGACAGTTTTCCAGTACCCATCTCTACTCAGTGTCACTGTGGTTGGTTTCCCCTGAGTCAGAGTGGTCGAAGAGAAACATATGGGCTTTGGAACCCGACAAATCACTCAGGCTGTATTACCTTGATCAAGTCACTTTACATCTCTGGGCCTCTTGTATAAAATGGAGATGAGGCCTCTCCAGTAGGATTGCTATGAGAATCAAATGAGAAGCTGAAAAGCAATGACGGGCAAAGTGTTCATATGCAGTAGGTGCTCAATAAATGTCTCCTTCCTGTTTCTTTTATCATATTGTCTCTTATATCAACATTACTTCCACAAACAGTAACATCAGAAATTCTTGATCAGCTCCCTACAAGTTATTTCCTGCTCTGGATCCCACTTCCAGGAGCACTGCCCTTCAGTCTCCAAGTTACATGGTCCCATGCTAAACTCGCAAATTTATCCATACTTTAAAAAACACTCCCTATCAACTGAAGGAAAATTACTGAAGTAATCAGGAGAAATGGCTTTGCGTCCACAAGTAGAAAAAGAACGATTTAAAATTTACCTAGCAGTAGGAGTATCAACACCTTAGCATGCATGAGTTCTAGTTCTGGGCAAATGATGATGGCAATTTCTTTTTTATTTGATTTGAGTATGACTGGTGAGAAATTGGAAGCTACTAGTCATCTGAAAGAACTAAAGGAAAAAGACAACGCTGTGGCTTCCAGTTGTGTTTACCCAGTAGGAGGTTGGTGGTACTCTGGAATAATTTAGTGAACACATACAGATAGAAAGTTTGCATAAAAATATTTCACATCTTCATGGCTGTGTGCTCTTCTGGGCTTTGGCAGCCACGATGAAGGCAAAGAGTTTGCCTCTCTGATGTAGAAGTTAAGATTTATGACAACAATTCCCACCGATAAACACAACAGCTCATAATAACAATAGGAAAAGTAACAACTACAACTTATTAAGGGCCTAACGTTCATTTGCATACCAAGGTTAACAAAAAACTTGTATGACTTACCTCATTTGATCCTCTTGCAGCCTGGGTGGGTATTATTCACTCCATTTTATAAATAAGCAAACTGAGACCCAGAGAGGTTAGATGTCGTGCCCAAGAGGACCATGAATAACAGGCAAAAGAATCACATCTGGAATTTTAATCTCACATTCTTGTCTCTTATTAGACTCCCTCTGTTAATAAGTAATTAGCTTGTTTGTTTGAAGGATAAATGGAAGCTCACATCAATTCTCCAGTTAGCTTTCTTACTCTATATTGGTTTTTAGACCCACAAAGCCACACGTACACATCACATAAGGTGGTGATAGTTGAAAAATAATTATTTAATGATCTTCGAGAAGAATTCCTTGTCACAAATAGACTATTTCCCAGAGTCCAGGGTAATTGCAAGTAGCTGTACTAGGACCACCGCAGAAGGTCCAGTGATAAAAGGCTCATTTTTTTCTGCAATTGAGGCTACAAACTACCTCAGTCGGCAGCGCCTGTAACTTCTGCAGAAGGAAGCGTTCAGACCTTGCCACAGAAGAGCAGACCTTTCCTGGGTCAGCTGTGAAGTAAACTTATAGTCAGATGTTTTTCAACTTCTCCACCACAGCATGGAGGCTTTTGGCCCCAAGTGTCAGATTTATCCATGAAGCTCTTGACCTCACCAGAAAAGAACCACTTTCAAATATAAGAAATATAAGGATCACTTTCAAAATAAGAAAGTGAACCTTGGAGTACGGCAAATCCATATTGAGCCAGGCACTATGCCAGGGGTGGGATCCATGGTCTGGAGGAGCAGACAGAGTAGTGGTTCCCAACCCAAGCTAGCCATTAGTGTCCCCCGGGGGCATTTTAAAATCTCAACAGGCCTCTATTTATTGAGAATTAATTACTCTCAATTAATTCAGAAACCCTGGGAGTCGGACCAGGTATCAGGATTTTTTAAAGCTCTCCAGGTGATTCCATTGTGCAGCCACAGCTGAGAAACACTATTATAGTAAAATCCAGAGTGTTCCAAACTTGCTTGGTTTGAGAAGCACCTGAGGTTCTTATTAAAAGTACAGATGTTCTTTTGATTTAACTTAACATATTTTTTTATTGCAGTACCATCGGATTATAACATATAACTTTCAGGCGTATACTGTAATATATTTTGAATTCTGTGTAGATTACATCATATTCATCACCCAAAGACTAATTACAGTCCATCACCACATGCATGTGCCTAATCACCACTTTTGCCCTCCTCCCTCCGCCTTTCCCCTCTGGTCACCACCAATCCAATCTCTGTTGCTATGTGTGTGTTTGTCATTGTTTTTATCTTCTTCTTATGAGTGAGATCATACTGTATTTGACTTTCTCCCTCTGACATTTCACTTAGCATAATACCCTCAAAGGTCCATCGATATTGTCACAAATGGCCGGATTTCATCATTTCTTATGGCTGAGTAGTATTCCATTGTGTATAAATGCCACATCTTCTTTATCCATTCGTCCCTTGATGGGCAGCTAGGTTGCTTCCAAGTCTTGGCTATTGTGAATAATGCTGCAATGAACATAGGGGTCCATGTATCTTTACACATTCATGTTTTCATGTTCTTTGGATAAATACCCAGCAGTGGAATAGCTGGATCATATGGTAGATCTATTCTTAATTTTCTGAGGGAACTCTATAATGTTTTCCATAGTGGCTGCACCAGTTTGCTCTCCCACCAGGATAAAAATGCAGATTTATGCGTCCTGATCTCATCTCCTGAATCAGAATTTCCAAGGGAAAGAGCTGGGAACATGTATTTTGAACAAGAGCCCAAAGATTCTTATGATTAAGAAAGTTAGGTGAAACCTGTATTTGTCCTCAAAGAATCAACAGAGTGAAAAGCCAGCCTATGGAATGGGAGAAAATATTTGCAAATCATACAACTGAGAAGAGGTTAATATCCAGAATATATAAAGCACTCCTACAACTCAAAAACAAAAAGACAAATAACCCAACTTTTTAAATGGGCAAAGGACTTGAGTAGACATTTCTCCAAAGAAGGTATATAAATGACCAACTAGAGTATGAAAAGATGCTCAACATCACTAATCATTAGAGAGATAAAATCAAAATCACAATGAGTTATCACCTCACACCCATTAAGATGGCCACTACCAAAAAAAAAAAAAAAAAACCAGTGGAAAATAATAAGTGTTGGCAAGGATGCAGAGAAATTGAAACCTATGTATGCCGTTGGTGAGCATGTGAAATCGTGCAGCCTCTATGGAAAACAGTATGGAGGTTTCTCAAAAAATTTAAAAGATTAAAAAAATAAAAAATGGATATCATATGCTCCAGCAATCTTACTTTTGGTACATACCTAAAAGAATTCAAAACAGGTTCTCAAAGAGAAATTTGCACATCCATATTCATTGTAGCACTAATCACAATAGCCAAAAGGCAGAAGTAACTCCAAACTCTATTGAATGATGAATGAATAAACAAAATGTGGTATATACGTACAATGGAACAATAATGGAATATTGTTCAGCCTTAAAAAAGAAAGAAATCCTGTCACAAGCTACAACATAAATGAACCTTGAGGACATTATGCTAAGGGAAATAAGCCAGTCACAAAAAGACAAATAGTGCATGATTCCACTTATGTGAAGTGTCTGGGTTTAGAGTTTCAGTTTGACAAGGCAAAAAAGTTCTAGAGATCTGCTGTAGGACAGTGTGTACAGAATTAACGCTACTGAACTGTACACGTAAAAATGGTTAAGATGGTAAATTTTATGTCACGTGTTTTTTATCACAATTTTTTTTATTTGAAAACCTGATATTGCCCAAAACTTCAACAGCTTCATACATCCCACCTGTCTTATTCATAGCAGAGGACAAAGAACTCAGGGTCTTTCAGCTCTCTCTTCAAAACCAAAACAAAATCAACCAAACAAAAACATTTCCCCCGCTGCCTCCTAAGGAGTGTAGCTCTCAATTTTGGAAAGTCCAGAGACTTGCTGAATGTCAATCTGGACAAGCCAGGACAGACATAGATTTTGCTGATGAGGAAAGGAGAGCTTTGAAGGTGTATGGGACGGGAAGATGACAGACTAAGGAGGAGAGGTGCCAGGACCCTGGGCCCCACATGGGGGCAGCAGTGAGAAGAGCAGCCCCAGATTATGTGTGGGTCCCAAGACACTGTGCACAAAGCGGGGTGGGGAAGGGGGTGACACCCTCACTGGGAAGAGACGACACTGCACTGACCGTCATGGAGTGTGTTGTGATGAAGGCATTCCTCCACCTCACCTAAGCTGTCTTTGATAAAATTCCCTTGCTCCCTCATCTTTCCATGTGATGAGACTTTCTGGGGAAAAGTGAAGAAACGCTCCACATGCTGGAGGGGCATGGGGCTGAGCGAAGTTAGTCCCCATCTGCCGCCACCCCTCCACAACCCGCCCTCTACTCAGATGATTCTTTGCCTTTCTTTGCTCTGCTCTGTGTCCCAC